CACACACACACACACACACACACACACATCCTCCCACACACACACACACACACACACACACACACACACACACACACACACTGCGGCGTGGTGTATGATCAAGGCGGGGACGTGTGTGCCGAGGGACGAGGTCATAGAACGAGATCTGCTGCGTGATGGAGGAGGATAGAAGATAGAGGCCGGAGGAGGAGGAAGCAGCATGGCGGCCATGAATCGTGAAAGGGAGGACACGAGAGAGAGAGAGAGAGAGAGAGAGAGAGAGAGAGAGAGAGAGAGAGAGAGAGAGAGAGATTTCTATGGATAGGATGAGCAACGCACCGGCCAACAGGTGAGTCGCTAACCCCACCATTGCCGTCACACTACTACCATCGATAGGGTGAGCAAAATCGAATAAATATTATGCTAGAACATCGAAATATACGCTACTACACGGGTGTGTGTGTGTGTGCGCCTCAGAGAGAGAGAGAGAGAGAGAGAGAGAGAGAGAGAGAGAGAGAGAGAGAGAGAGAGAGAGAGAGAGAGTCCCCTGTTTTGGGGGAGCAAAGTGGGGGGGGTAAGTTTCCGAATACCCACATAAATTGAGATATATGTCAAAATGTCCCTAAAAGATATGCGCACAGTGGCATGGCCTTTTGGGCTGACATGTTTGTGTTATGCCCCTGTCAGGTGGGTATGCAAATTCTCTTGGCCTTTTGCAATTGCACGTATGAAAACTTGGCAACTGCGGGGGCATTTTGCAAAGTTGGGCAGCGTCCGGTAGGAGTACATTGTAAAGATGGGAACTGATGGCTGGGGTTTTTCGCAAAATGCTTTTGTCAACGTGGCTGCTGCAGGTTCACTTGTGTAAGACCTGAGCTGCACTCCATCCAAGGAAGGATCTTCCCCGGCTAAGGAAGTGGCCAAGGTGCTAAGAAAGTGGCCAAGTACATGGACTGACAGTTTTTCCTTCTCGGGAATAGTGCCGGTTTTAGTCCGCCGAGATTCGAACTTCCTTTGTCGATGCCTGATGTGGTCAGTCTCAGTGGGGCTGGTGTGTTGAAATGTCCGCCGCAGTCCGAACTTCGCGGATTGCTGGCCTCCGACTTCTGTGAGTTATGGTGGTTTTCCTTTGCGAAGTGCGGGGGTGATAAGCTCGGATGTTGCAGTCATTTTGTTTTCCAGTCGCACAACCGCACCTGGGTGCACATGACCACGCGAGATCAGGGTCCTGTGGTCGGAGAGGTCCTGCTTGACTGTTGCGTCTGTACAAATGTATGGTTCTCATTTTTCGTTTTGTCTTTCTTCTGTTGTACAGGGGTGGTGTCGTCTCGAACACGGAGGTCCTCCAAATATCCAGAGCACATATTGCAGAAAGTCCCCTGGTTGAGTAAAAAACACAAGGATATGTGAAAGGCATCAAGGGTTGATGTCGAGATCGGGAAGGAGTACACCGTTGCCATTGAGGAATGTCTTTCCCTTTTTGCCCCAGAGAAAGGGACATATCCATGATCTGTGAGTAGGGGTCAGGCCATGTATGAGAAGTACTTAGCAACGCGTCATGCACCGGGGGACAATATCTAGACCTCCGTTTCTCACTAGCCCACGTGTCCTTTGCTCGATGTTGTGCTGTGCGGGCAACAAGTGCAGCACGTGGGAAAAGTTTTGCTGTGACGATTGCGCCTCTGAGCTTGCGGTTTTTGGACGACATTGTACGAGGCTCGGTGCCGTCTAACACTATTCTCTTTATACAGGGCGATGGTCAATTTCGGATTGCAGTAAAAGATCTCCTCACCCTCTTGCATGTTGACGACAGGGTGAATGATGAGGTGGTCAATTTCTATATGGCGTTGTTGGGGTCGACCGCATGTGGGTCACGTGACATCTATTCAGGCCTTCAAGTCTTTAGCTTTAATTCGTTCTTCTTCAGTAAACTGCGACTTCAAGGACATGGTGGGGTGCAGAGGTGGGCTAAAACCGTAGATTTGCTTCGTTGCGATATTATCTTCGTTCCTGTACACAAAGATGATGATCAGGGTTGTCGACCCCCGGCCCCGGGACCCCGCCGGGCTTCCGGGGTTCCGGGAGTCCGGGGGTCGGCACCCGGGACCCCGGCCCCCTGTAGGGGAAAAAAAAAAAAA